TACTGAAGACGTAGGATGATTGGTGATCTCACTTAATGCCTTACGGAAACTGCTTCGTATTTTCTTTCCTAAGTGGTTCTGAACGTTTCTGACATCATATTCATGTTCGCCAGAGTGAGTTCTATCTACAGTAATATTTTAATGCCAACTATTTTTTTAATACATACGAATATTGTGCTCTGCTCTCGTATAAATATCATTCCAAACATTGATAAACTTAGTTTTATTAACTAATTATAGAAGCATTTATCCGTCATTTTAAGTCTACTAAAGAATCAATTTTAACACTATGTTAAAATATGTTTTTTAATATTGATATTTCTAGCACACTTAATACCCAATATTTATACTAGTTAAAATGAAAAGGTATTCTATTTTCGTATACCCGCTGCATGTTGTTATATTTCAGTTAATAACCTTTTGTCAAAGCTGCATGTTCATATTTGTGTAACCAAAGTTAAAAATATTTTAGTTTGCACACTTATTACAAAAATAAAAAACTTTTTATATAAAGTTAGAACATTTCGATATATTTTCAAATGTTAATTGAAATTAAACCGGCTTCCACATTTATAAAATATATGGGAAAATAGTAATGCTGATCAAAGCTATCTGACTGACTAATGCTAGAATGTTTGGTTTTGTCTTTTTTTCCTAAATATTTTCATATCTAGAAACAAAACAGTTCAAAAAAAACATTTGCATTGTCAAACTATAGTAACATTTCTTTCAATTAGTAATAGCATGTCTGTTGTTTGTCTAATTGTTTCAAAAATATATATATTTTTTTTTGTTCAATCATAATTATTTGTTCTTAACAGATTGTTTTAGTTCTTTTTAAAATATTTTAAAATTTATTGTTCGCTCACTATTCTAAGAATACCATTTTGTATTGACAGTGATCATTGGTCGTAATTAATACTGTCATTTTCTCTTTGGAGGCTTTTTGATTTCTCTTGCTGTTGCTGCAATAAAGCCACAATTTGTTTTGAACAATATTCTAATTATAATTGTCTATTATTCTAACTTAATGAAATATTGCGATCAGTTAGTTGTATCTCAGTGGACATCTTAATATAAAATTGATTAAATTACAACTGTAAATTTGAGAACATATATTTGCCCAGTTTTTATAAATCAGTGACGTCGTTCAAGAAATAAGACATGACGTTAATTGTGTACGCATGAAAATATGAAGAAAATAAGGGATGCGTATGTTGTGTGTGTGTGTGTTCGTACTCACTAGAAACCAAATTGATTAGCTCAACATGAAACATAAATATTTCAGTTTTATTATTTGTTCAAATGAAATAATTATACTTAGTTATGTCGTATGACTGACACTCATAAATTTTGTGTTTTATTTTATTTTATCTAGGAGTAATCGTGAAAATCAATTTTATGAATATACTTTAATTATATCGAATGTTACATTTGAAGATGAACAAGAGTTGACAATCAATGTCAAGTCAAAAATTCCAAATAAAAAAAAAGTAAAACCAATCGTTATTGGTTAGTAAATTATCTAAAAATTTCATAAATTATTGGTATTTTTAAAAGTATTTTTTTGCTCTTTTCTTTTGTCTATAAAGGTGATCCACTTGCTTATTTTTCATTTGTACCAGAACAAATACCACATGGTTTAAAATGGCGAAATAATTTTCATAATGAAAAAATTTATTCCTATGGTATCTATGAAAATGAAATATATCGTGTTATGTGTTCTGTTCATCATCAATCTGATATTGGAAAACCATTAGATGTTTATATTTTAAAACGAATATGTATCTTTGATGATTGTTTATATAATCTTATTGACATAACATCATGTGATAATAGAAGAAATAATTGGATAAAAATGACTGTAAATATTTATGAAATAGATAAATTTCGTACACAATTTACTAGTCTTGAAAGAGAAACAATTACAGATTATGATATGGGTCATCAATATCTATGTTGTTATAAACATAGTCTCATGTCAAAAGGTGTAACAGTCATGGCAAGTAAGTTTTAAAATAAAAAAAATGATGATAACATCTGTATCTTATAATTATTTTACTCTTTTCGTTTTAGATGATCGAAGTATGTTTGTTGTTAAAAAGCCAGAATTTAGCTTAGTAGCAGGTGACATATTAAAATATAGTTGTCAAGCACATGAACTTATTTATGATGAAATAGTGTTTTTATATAATGATGGTATTTATACTTATGAACGAAAACATATTGAAAATGATTGGATACTTGTGGGTACAAGACAAAAAAAACAATTAGATTTACAATGGTCTGCAACTTCAGGGTAAATTTAAAAATATTTTAAATTATGATTAATCATCATTTTTTTTTCTTTTATTGTTTTAGTGAAAAAATTCATGAAATGATAGTAAACGTATCAACATCTCAATTAGCAACATCTGATAGAGGTTTTATTCAATGTAAAGCGACATCAAAACGTATCGATGTTATACCAGATATTACAGATCGATACACGATTAATGTTGATGGTATTAGTCTAATTTGAAAATATTCTAATTTTATCTTCTTTCCAATTAACTTTCTTAACTTTCATTTAGATCCTTTACCATTGACTTTTAATGATAAACGTTCAAATGTACTTAAAATTTTTCGTCAAAGTGGTACAGACATTCATCTAGATTGTAGTCATCAAGGACGGCCACAACCAAAAGTCATTTGGCTCAAAGGAAAACAACTAGTGAAATATGATCCAACAATAACATTTGGACCGAATAATAGCTCGTTAGTCTTTTCTTAATAATTACTATGGAGATATATATTGTTTAATCATTATTTCTGTTTAGTTTAAAAATAAATCGTCTACAAGCATCAGACACTGGATATTATACATGTGAATTAAATAATGGTCGAGATCCCATTCTAAAACGAAGTTTTGATTTATATGTAAAAGGTGAGTCATTCGATTTTTTTTTTAATTTTGTTTTCTTCACGAACGTTATTTTATACTTTAGGAAATTATCCTGATACACGTTATCGTCGATTTGGAGCGATACTTGGTTTTATTTGTGCATTTCTATTATTATTAATGTTAATTTTACTTGTCATTGGTGCTATTAAATATCATCAAATGAAACAGAAAGTTGAAGTTAGTATTTGTTTTCATTAATAAAATAAAATCATTGAAATTAAATTTCTATTCTCATTTGATTCTTATTCTAGGGCAGTCAATTTACTCAACAAAAACATAATCGTGCATCACAATTATTTGATGAGAATCAACAAATAATTAAACAACTTAAACTTATATCATTACCTGAAAATTTTGCATCAAAAAATCAAATTAAATCTTTAGTTAGTCAAGTTAATGAAGGTTATGAAACCGATTCAAATTCAAGTGGTAAGATAGAATTTCTAGCCTGTTAAATCGAGCATATAAAACCATTTTTTTTATATGTATCTATGAAATATTATAATAGTTTTGACTATTTTTGATTTGAGTAATAGAGTGTTAACCTCTCTTACTAAATTTCTTCTCCCAGCTCTACACGACCTTTCTTTACAAAGTTATAGAATTTACAAGAAAAGCTCTAAATATTCATTGTCAACTCAAAGTTACAGAAATAAGAAGAAATTAATTCATTTAGGGCTTTTCTTGTAAATTCTTTAACTTTGCAAAGAAAGGTCATGTAGAGCTGGAAGATGTCTTATTTTTTGATCAGAATTTTGTGGGCTACAATCGTGATCTATTGAGCTAAACTTTTAGGGACTTTTCGAGATTTCTGGAAAATCAGTTTTTCCAGGAAACAGCTCTAGGAAGGCCTAGCGGCCCATCTTATATGGATATTCGAATCAGCATGGTCGATAATCTATAACCCACTAGGTTTCAACCAGAAAGCGATTAGACACTTGGAAAAGGTCCCTCGTAAGTTAAAAATGTTAGACAAACTAATCAAAATTTTTCGCCTACTATTAAAACTATATACATTATTAAATGGAGAAAACTTGTGCATGGAGTAAGATTATCGTTCGTCTGAACTAATACTTTTTTCGTCCATGTGTCAAAAATTCGTTTTCAATGAACATTTGAGTCGAGGTATTTCAAAACTGTAAATTATGATTTTTTTTGAGAAAGTCAATTGATCCAACTAAAGCATAATAGAATAATTTCAATAGACATTTAAGATGATTCATTCCCGAACTGCGCACACTTCCACCAACCCACCACCTTTGAAGATTCTTTGATGTTAATTTGAAATTTAAAGGTGTGTACAATTCAGAAAGTAACGTTTAAGATACACAGCTAAAAAAAGATTTTTTGTAAAAAATTTCATTTCGAATATGTCCAGTATGTAATAGTTCTCTCGTACTATAGTAAGAAAATAGAATTGTTTCTTCTTTAAACGAAAAATAATCTTTCTCTAAAATTTGTTTTATTTAGATTTCAAGAAACTTGGTGAAGGTCAATTTGGAGTGGTGTATAAAGTTCGTTTACCTGATATCGGTTTAGTAGCTGCTAAAATGTTACCAGGTATATTAATTATTTTGTGTTTCTCATTTATTACTAGGAATTTTTTTGTATAATTAAGAATCAATTCGAAATGCTAACAATAGAAACGATAAAGAAAAGAAAGATAAGGAAATGGAAACTCTCAATAATCCAGATTTATCAAAAAAGCAAAAAGTAACAGAAATGTTAATCGAAGAATTAAAAGTGTTGGGAAAAGTTGGACAACATTTTAATATTGTTGGTTTGATATCAGTTGCATATCCCAAAACACAACTTAAATCACTTTTTTCTGGACCAATGCGTGATGAAGATTCATTTTATCTAATGGAATTATGTGAAAATGGTTCTTTAGAATCAATGTTAAAAAAATTCAACGCTCATGAATACAAAGATAATAATTTGGAAACAAAACCATCATTATATGAAACATTATCAACAACTACAGCTGGAATTACCGTAGAACAAGCTATTATTATTTCCAATTTAACAACTGATGATTTAAAATTAATATCGTACCAGGTGGCATGTGGTGTAGATTATTTAAATCGTAAACAAGTACGTAACAGAATCTTATTAAAAGTATATGATTTTATTTCTTGTCATATTTCTTCAGATAGCGCATAGTGATATTGCTCCAAGAAACGTACTTGTTACAGATAGATTTATAATGAAAATTTGTGATTTTGGCTTGGCAGCATGGACAACTTACAAGAATTATAGTGAACAATTGTCAACGGGTAGTGTTCAACTTGAAAAAAAACATGTAAATTATATCATTTTTGTTATCCATTATTAATATAATTTAACTTTTCTCTTTATTTATTAGAATAGTACAGCTACACATAATTTAACACCGGAATTAGCTACAGCAATGTTACGTAATTCATTGAATAATCGAGATGAAAACCTTCTACTGAATAAATCGTCAATGAAAGCTGATGTGTAAATATTTGAAAAATATTGATTCATTTTATTTAAAATATTTTTATCTCGATTATTGATTCTTTTCTAGTTGGTCATTTGGAATATTTTTATGGTGTCTATTTCTAAAATGTAAATCAAAAAATATAAATATTATCAAATTGATATTAATATATTTGATATTTTTATTACAGGTAAATATCGTCCATTTAATCAAATTCATGCTCAAATGCCGTTTCCATCTGATTCTGAATATATGGCGCGATTACTAAAAATACTGAGTACTGGACGAGTATTGGAATATATCGATTATCATTCTGAAATTCCAAAAGAAATGTACGTATCATACATTTTATATAAGATATGCTATAATTGTGGATGAATATGACATAAACATATTCTAAATATGCTACATTTCTTTTAGCTATGCAATTATTTGTGTTTGTTTACGTGGAGAATCTGAACGTCCTGAAATGAACAATATTCGTGCTCATCTTTGTCATAAGAAAATGTTATCAAAACAAGCATTCAATGTAATCTCTATACTATTTTATCATTCAATGTTCTTTTAAAAAAGATTAAATTTTCTTATTTTGTTCTTTAGTATTATAAAACTGAATATAATCGATATAAGGAAGCACAATCGAACGGTAGTAATGTGGAAGTTTTTGGTGATGTTCAAGGTGATGAATTACCAAAATTTATTGAAAATGATGTAACAGACGGTAATAGTGATCGTCGATCCGATGTAGATTATCGTGATGATCGACAACAAAAACAACGAGAGGATTATAGTGACTATGTACAACCATCAGAAACAAGTGATAATTCAACTAGACCGCTTTTATCAAATTCATTTCGTAATACTAAGGATTATAATGAGAATGGTTCATATTTAGATCCAATTAATGAAATTAAAAAGTTACCTGTACGTTCAGATTTAAAAGATAGTCAATATGGCAATAGAACAGAGAATGTTCCATTAATGAAAAATAATTTGATGAATAAAACACGAAATGATTTGGGAAATATAAAAGTAACATATAATACTCCGCCATATAATCAGCGTTTAACACCATATCTGCGAGACGATGATGATAGTTATCTCTAACGAAAATATATTTTATTATTTCGTTAGAAAATGAAGCTTTAATACGTATATTAAACATCTTTATGTTGTGCAATCATTATTCTTAAAAATAGACGTTACATGTGAAGAATAATTATGCTAGTGTGTGTTGTGTGCTATGTACACCGTCCAACATCTCCTTTTCTATATTTTTATAGCTATATTAATAGTTTTTAATATTAATGTGTCTTTTTCAAATATTTTTTTTCTCTCTATTAGAAACAAAAATATGGCTCATACACTTTCTACATTCCTTTTCGATAAGTGAGTTATTAATCTGATTTTTTAACAGTGCATCTTTGATCTTTGTTGCTTTTTTATGCTCTTTTTTCCGTCTCAACATGCTGTGATGTCTACTTCATCTGTTTCTTCTATTTTTAGCAAGAGTTTTTGTAGTTTTCTCCGTGAATATTTTCTTATTATTATTTTCCATTGTAGTTTTGAGATAAAACTCGCCTGTTCTCTGTTCTTGTTTGCTCTCTTCTCTTCTTTGGAGAAAGATATGTAAATATAATTCATTATTCAGGATGCCGCTTTGTGAAAACATTCGGCTTATTACAATTTGACGATCTTATCTAATCCTATCTTCGGTAATCTTCCATAACGCATAATATTATATCAATATTTTGAAGAAATGTGTAAACGTTTTCTTGTATACCCAGATATGCATTATCAACGCGAAATAATACCGTCCCTTCATATACATGTATCAACATTTAGTCACCAAACGAACTAAACAATTTTTTACATATTATTTAACACTATCAATAAATACCGCACAAACAACAATGATGCTCGCTTACGGTCTCGTTTTTCACTGTAAATCAATCGAAAGATCGTGATCTTTGAAATAAGCTGAACGTTAGTGCCTCGTTCTGCATTTTTTTATTACTGCAATATCTAGTTGGGAATTAGTGGAATAATAGTTTTCGAATGTGTTTGTTTATTTGTTTATAAAACAATTCCGAAATGTTTGACCTTAAAATAGGCGGAAGATACTGCTAGATAAAACAAGAGGATATTAGAATCGTTTCCTTCGAAATTAAAGAAAAATTGAAAAAACTGAAAAACTTGACTTTTAATTAATGTGTACAAACCTCTAAATAAAAATTAATGCGATAAGTAGTTTCTTTAAAAATAGTCAGCATCGAGTAATGTATAATCAGACATATTTTGCGAGAAATATTGTTAGCAGAAGAACGCGACATCTTTCAAGTTTTATCTGTTACGTTTACTATGCACCAATAGTAGATTACAAACGACTCGAAAAAAGTATTCCTTGGTTCCACGTTCATACGTCAACGCTTTCACAAAAAATAAAAGAATGTTTGATGAAAAACCAGTGAAGGCGTATAACTTGTCAATTTTACAGAATAATCATTGCTTATATTG